TCTGTACCAGGTAATACCAGAGCCTGGGGTTAGATGCATACATGGAGTTCACTGAGCAGTGGCTGGAGATAAAGCTAGGAACCAAGAAGTTTTAATGTAGTGTCACTGGCAGAACTAGAGAGGCAGGAGCAAAGACGGTCCATGCAAGGGACATCCACACCCAGCAGAAAATTAGCCTTGGGGTGGGTCTGGAGCCAGAGAGCTGGGAGAAGAAGGAGAGATGGATTCCCAAGGAAAAGACACTGATGAAGTGGGAGGAGGCTGATGTGAGTCACAGAGGAACCCAGGAAGTATGGGATGGGAGGAGGAAACCGAGAGTGTGCATGGTGACAGAGGAGGGACAGGTGTGTACTAGGATTGAGGCCTGAAGATGATCACAGCTATCACACCCCTGACTGTGTGAGGATTGTGTGGCTTTCAGTGTTACAGGTAGACTGCACACTGCTTAATTGAGCCTCTTGACAGCAATTGTAGGCACTCATTTTGACCCATTTGCTAGATTGATGCTCCGAGAGGGAGGAGAGGTCACTGATTCTGGAGACACCGGTTGTTTACAGTGCGGATGCTCAGGTTCTGAAGTGTCTTTCTGATCTGAGTAGAGGTCATCAGGGTCACCTGAAACAGCAGAGACCAAGCAAGTGCCTTGTTTCAAGAGTCATGAACTGATTTGTACCTTACCTTTTCCCCTGACCTCCTAGTTTCGTAATACTAAAGAACCTAGAGGGAGAGAACGGGTGCTGTGTGGGAAATGCACTGTCTGTTTAGTTAAAGGACTTGGAGTGTTCAACTTGGCCCTCTTGGCCCAGTGTTCCTCATCATCTGAAAGGTGATGTGGCCTCCCTGCCTTTGGTTTGAGCAGGAGGCAGGGATGTGGAGCCTGCAAATGTGGTTGTTAGCCAGGCCTCTGCGTTTAACTGCTGAGGAGAGAAAACACAGTGCACACAGTGCAGAACTAATGACAGGGCCCCACAGGTAGGAATGCCATTGCGCTCTTCAGCCTGCACATGTGAGGTTGGGCAAGAGACGATCACAGATGTTCCCAGAATTCCCAGACCGGATACACAATTGCTAGCAGAATGCAGGGAAAGAGGAAGGAGGTGAGTGTTTTATGTAATGAGAAGCTTGCCTCCTGCCTGGTCAACCTCTTCCAGCACCACGGTGGCCAGGGCCTCCTTTTCCTGAGGCCTGCAAGTTTAGGAAACCCGCATGTGTGTCTGGAGAGCCCTAGCTGCTCCAGCAGACAGTTCTTCCCCACTTTGGCCGGTTTCTGTCCAGGATCCACGGCTTTCCACTGGGTGTGGTGGCCCAGAGGCAGCCAAGCAGTGTGCTCTTCTACCCAGATGTAGTTTGGTGCCCAGGATGGAAAAGAAATTGGGTAACGGGCCTAAAACTGAAAGCAGCTACCCAGCTCTCCTCCCAGATCTGAGTAAAGTTTTGTCTGGGTAGTGACAGAGAAAGGCCCAACCTGGAGAGCTTTGCATATCCACTCTGGACAGTGGAAGCTGGCAGTGGGGAAGCTGGGCTGAGTATTCCACAGAGTTGGAATACTGGGAGCACCAGAATGGGGAAAGCTGAGATGTCTGGTGGAGAAGGACACCGTCAGAGCTGGTCGTGGGGCTACACGGAGAGCAGCGGCTCCCTTATCTGCTGGAGCTGAAAGAACAGAGGCTCAGGTTTTCTTCCCGTACATTGCCCTGACTACAGTTCTGTGTGCCCACCCCCTCCCCTGTTCCAGCTCGAAGCAGTTCTTGCAGCCCATCTGATCTGGGTTTCCCTTGGACCAAATGTTTGCAGAGGAATTGGTGCAGGATCTAAGAGGGTGGTCTTCCTTGCTGACTGTCCCGAAGAGAGGTGTCTCCAAAGTAGTCCCCCTTGATATGGGTAGTTGGCAAATTAATTGTCTTCTCATAAGCCTTGGTGTCTACAAAACCAGGTGAATATGTATGTATCTATCTCATGTTAATATAAGAATGAAAAGAAATTGTCTGTGTTGAGTCCTTTTGTGGAGCAAATGCTCAGTAAATGTTAGCTCTTATCATGATCATTGTATTTCTTTTTAAATGAAAACTTTCTGAGAGGTTTCCTTTTAAATATTTGATTCCAGACCAGGAGTTGGCAAATTACAGCTTGTGGGCCAAAACCAACCTGCTCGGTATTTTTGTATAGCTTGTAAGCTAGGAATCATTTCACAGTAGAAGTTTTTATTTAAAAAAAAACCATATTATTTTTGTGACAGGCAGAAATAGTAGGAAATGTGAATTTCAGGATCCATCAATAAAGTTTTATTGGAACTTAGCCAGAACTATGAGTTAGCCTGTAGTCTGGATTCTGGATGCTACAGCAGAGCTGAGGGGGTCTGTGGGAGCCCTTTTGGCCTGTAGAATTGAAAACATTGCCTCTGGCTCTTCACAGAGGAGGATTTCAGTCCCTGTTCTTGTAGGGTAACAGGTATTGAGAGCAAAACTTTTTGCACTTACTGTTGAGTAGAATAGAGTTCACCAGCCACTAACAGATAGGAAAGAAGAAAAACCAAGTATGTTTGTTTTTTGCAATAGTAGAAGTAAAGAATAGGCAAGGGTCTGATTATTGGCAAATCTTACTATGATGTGTATTTATTTATTTATTTTTTAAAGAAAGAACCTCTGAATTGCAGTGCAGCAGCTATAGGTAATTACAGAGGATCTACAGTCTGAAGTTCTCTGGGGCAGGGTCTCTCCTCAGTGTCTGAAGGGGTCCATGTTGGGGACAGACAGACAGTGGAATCCCTCATCCCCAAAGGGCTGCTTGTAGAAGTAGAGCAATGCACTGGAAACTAAAGTTCGATTTCACTGTCGCTCTGTGTGTCTGTTACTCTGCCTCCTTCTACTTTGTTCCAGAAAAGACTTGAGGCAGCCTCGACCCTTGACATCCAGAGTCCCAGCTCCCAGGACCAGCAAGGCCTAGGGGTTGTGGTGGAGGAGAGTAAGCAGAGGGTGTCATTGCTGATTTAAAGGAGGCCACCCATGCAGTGACTCATGCTTTTCAACAGAGGGAACATTTTTTTTTCTCTTGTCTTTCTCTCTGTACCCGCTGTCACCCTCACCCCTACTAACCCTTCTAGCCTTTCATATGACAAATCGTGTTTGCGTGAGTCTGACAGAGGAGAGAAGGCCTGGTAGAAACACAGCTGCCTGAGCACACACAGGTCTGCACGAGGTGCCCTGCTCTGGGGAGCCCCACTGAGCAGGTCTGAGGAGCGGCCCTAGGGATGAGCTCAGAAAGGTGGCTGAGTAATGGACGGAAACCACAAATCCAGGGGTGACAGGGCTGAGAGTGCAGCTTATGAATCACCCTGAGTGCTCTTTGCCTCAGGGGATCCACTCACACATTCCCAGGGGAGCCAGTACCTGGGAGACATGACGTCGTTGTCACTGGGAGAGGAGTTTCATCCACATGTGGCCTCAGCAAAGCTTGTTCCCATGGGTAACACCTAAGCTTCTCAGGGCAAGGAGATGGAGCTCCGAACCTCCCTGTGTCCATGTATGTGTGTGCATGTGTCTTAAAGGATGTGTCTCATCCAGCCTGGAGCGTCTTTATTAATGCCTGCCTCTGATTCCTTCCAGGGAGGCAAGAACTCTCATCAGCTCTTTCATGGGGGAAGAGGCAGCTCTGTGTCAGAAACGATGCCAGTCTGTAGCTATCCCAGCATTTTTCTCCAAGATGCTCCCTCCACAAAGTTCTGCTCCAAACCCATGATTTGCATGAAACATTCCCTGTCCAACCACGATGTCTGCTCATCTGGCTTGTGCCCACGTACCATGTGGTCAGATGGGGCTGGCTGCCCTTAATTGATTTCAGAAAGGCAGGGGCAGCCTGCGTAGCCTGCCGAGTAGCTACAGGCATCAGCCTTGAGCTCTGATAATTTTGCCAGGGACATTGGCTTACAAGATTCTCCTATTGCATTGATAGTTCAGAGAAGGAAGAGATCTCACCAACTGTGTCTCATCACTGTATTTTTCTTATCAACCTGATAAATACTCAAAGCAAACCAAACTGTTGATGTGGCCTTTTGCTTCTCACTGTTACCTGTCATTGATTAATAATTAAATCAGTCTTTTACATTTAATGTATTTTTCTTCACCTGTAATGCTCCACTGTTAAAAAGTCTTTAGCCTGGTCCTGACTTCCCAATTTAGCAAAAAACATGAAAAATTTTCAAATATTGCATCTCCAGGGATAACCAAGCCAAGGAGAGGAGGAATCTAGTATAGACCTTATTAATAAACCCTAAACCAGGGAGCTGAGATAGGGTTCATGATGGTTGATTTATGAGGGCTGGTATTGGGTTAAGGAAACTGACCCATCTGTATTTGTTATATAACCATTTTTCTGCACACACCAGTCTACACGAATTAGCAAACCTTTCTTAAAATAATAAGACACAGTTCCAAGCTTGTGTTCATAAACTGCTTTTCATTGAGCCCATGAACTTGGAGTGTGGCTTCATGCTCTGAGCCTTATGGTGGACATTTTTAGTATACTCTCATTTCCTCTTTTTCTCTGCATATGCTCCCAACAATAGCAGCCTCACAGGCCTTCCAAAGCAGTGGAGGATGTTTGTGGACTGAGCACTAAGCTTGTACCCAGGAACTAGCCTTGTTTCGGTTTGCTCCACCCAGCTTTGGGGAGAGGAGCGGATAGAAAGGTGGGCACGGTAGGCAGCACTGTGCACATATAGGAATCACATGTACCCCAGCAGTCCCGGGGTCACGGAGAGTCACCTGAATCCCATTTGGGAAGCACTTTCCTTTTTCTTAATCACAAACATTTTGCTTTCTCTTTCCTACCACACATTTTCTGAAAATGAAAAAAATGTGTGCCAAGCGAATTGCCTTGGGCAAGGGAGAAGTGGTGGGTGGAGCTGCCAAGGACACTGCGCTGACCAAGCCTCCCTTGTGGAGAGCTGCGGTCCCAGCTCTGCTGTTTCCTGGTGTATCCCGTCTCATGACAGGTAGGAAACACTGACCAGGTTCCTCATTTTCCAAAGAGGCTATTTCTGACAAGTTTTCAGGGATTAAGGGCTGGATACAGGTGGGTTTCTTCCCCTCCTGCTTGCTGTCACCTGGACATTACATTACCATGGGGATAATCCTCCCTGAAACAAAAATAAAGGGCAGAACCGGTTGGACAGAAAGTGTAGCCCAAAACTCTGAGACTGAGAGGTTAGGGACTTGCAGGCTAGAGGAGCTCCTAGGGTCAGGCCCAGAGGAGGGAGAGGTGAAAGAGGAGGGCACCTTGAACTGGGGGAGAGCACAGATTAAAATCCCGTTGGACTGTTTAAGAGAGATCTTGAGTTGTGATCCTTCATGGATTCTTCTTTCTGCAACCCACAGTCCTGTCGGGAGGGGTAGGAGCAGCAGGGTGGTAATCCCCCAGTGCGGGTTTGATGTATGAGAAAGGGAAGGAGGCCCAGGATTATAATCTGCTCTGCAAAGTCTTGTGAGCTATGCAGTGTTTGAGGTTTTTGGCTTCTTGAAACCCAGAGGTTTAGGGAGGTGATTTTTTTTTACTATGTCAGCACCAACCGAGAAACTAGTTTTTGGAGTTGAGAACATAACAACCCTCCCCCCCTCCCCCCAGCTCCAGGAAGAAGACTGGATTTTATTTTCTGCTGAAAAATGCACTAGGCTCCTGAAGAGAGGAGGGTCCAGCTCTGTGACTGGCTGTGGTACTCAGCTTAATCTGAGCACACAGGGAAGCTGAAGCAGTAGGATCAGAGGATCACAAGTTCGAGCCCATCAAAGCAGTTTAGGAATGTGGGGAAACCACGTCTCAAAAAGCGAAGGAGTGAAGCCCCCCACTCTCGGTTCCATTTCTCCAATACGGGGAAGGGGGAAGGAAAAAAAAATCTGGTAGAAAGATCTGAAGGATTGGCAGATTCTAAGAGAAAATGCTCTTGGCTCATGGATCATCTCTCTGTTGGTACAGAACAATGACTTCAGTTTTAGGTCCAATGGTCTGTTTCTCCAGAGATCCCAAAAAGAAAGAGAGACAAAGAGGAAAGAAAATAGGCTGAGATCTGTGTAGGGTGGTTTTGCATGCAGCCTCCCTGGGGGTAGGGTGGTGGTTTGGCAACTTGGCTGAACTTTTAAATTCTTCCTGGCCCTCAAGTATGAGACCTGTACATTGTTGGGTGACACATGGATGAGGCAGGAGCTCATCTTTCACCTGTCAGGTATGCAGTGGGTACCTATTAATTGCTGGGGGGCACTAGTGAGGAACAGAACAGAAAACGTCTTTGCTCTCCATCACTAGAGGAAAGTCAGGCTCTCAAAGGACACACAGACTAGGAAGCACTAAAAGCTGTGAAAACCATTGAGGGGTAAAGGGATAGAGAGCAGTGGGGGTGGACCATTCAGGGTGTGGCCAGGAAGGGTTTTTCTGGGAGGTGATGTTTGAACAGAGAGCTGGCAGAGGCCTGGGGGAGGAATGTTCTAGGCCAGGGTTCAACAGACACTGGCCCCTGCACCAAATCCTGCCAGCCTATGTTGTTGTAAAGGAGTTTCACGGGAGCCCAGCCATGTCCGTGGCTTGGTCATCATCTGGGCTGCATTCTTGTGATTATGGCCACGCTGAGGATTGGTGATTCTGGTGGGATTTGACCCACTGAATCTCAGTGGCACTTAATCCTTAGCAGAAAAAGTCTGCTACTTCCATCTGAGCAGGAGCACTGTCCTCTCAGATCCCCTCTTCTAGGGGCATGGACATTTAAATTGTTCCACCTCATGGGCCCAGCAGCAGCAGAGAACTCTTCAGCAAGCATACTTCCCATGTCACAAGGTTCACCAATACGGACTCCAGGAGTAGAGTTTCTGTACATTAGGATGAGTACATATGTGAATAGAAAGCTTTTAACAGGCAACTTTAATCAGACTGTAGAACCTGCTTCAGCTTATCCTACCCTGTATCATTCTCCTCCACAGGGCAGATGTGGCTTAGTGCCACTGAGGGAGACCTGCCTTCCTGTGGCGTGTTGTTTCTCAGAAATTCCAGTATGCTGTCAAATGAACCTGTCACACCAGCACTTAAAAAGCTGTGAAGGCCTGGTATGAGTGATGGCCCAACCTCACTGTCTAATAGTATGGATTTTTGAATATTTTACTTATTTTCCTATTCCCACAAGGTCCCATGTCTAGATTGGAAACTTCCTAAGATCCTGATCTGTGTCTCATTTATCTTGTATTCCCAAGGCCTGCTCAAGTGTTGACCTCTAATAGAAATGGCACAGATCCATTCTGAATAAAGGATATGGCCACCTGCAAAACTTTCCTGCAAAATAGAAACTTATGAACTGGGAAAAAAATCACGTACACTCAGTAGCTGAACAGCAATGAGTCTGGGTATTACCTTGTTGTTTTGTTCTTTTCTTCTTCTTCCAGAGGAAGGCTATCACAATATAAAGTCACGAGCATCCTGCAGGCCTGTTAATGTGCCAAACAGGGTCACTGGCTGTCAGGACCACAGAGAGCAGGAGCAGGGTACATCATTGCACATTCTCACCTGTGCTCTTGTGTACCCGTGTCTTTCTTAACATTCTGGGCTCTGCCACAAGAAGAGAGTCTGCATTTCCACAAAGCAACCTCAGCCTTCAGAGGTTTTTCTTCTACTTGTTTAATTCACTTGATCTTGAACCTGTGGCATTTCTTTTAGCTTTTGCTAGAAGGCCAGGTTTTCTGAGGTCCAATTGCAGCTGACTACTTAACCGGTTTCTAGAGGGCTAGCTCTGGGCTCATAAGTTGGGAGCCTACAACTAAAAGAAACCATGTTAGTATCTCTCACAAGCTTACATTGGTTGGGTTCTGAAGAAATAAAAATAGAAAGGAAAAAGTCATACGTACTTAGTGTCTATAAGTAGAAAGTAGCACACTGAGGGTTTGGAGTTGGATGGACCCAGTCACACCCTGAAGTCCCGATTTGTTTCAACTGACCCTGCAAGGTCCTGCAAAATTTCCCGTCTGAAACTCCCACCAAAATGCCTCAAGACAGGGCCAGAGGGCTGGGAGAAGGTGGTGCTGGTTTCTTCAGGATCCTTTCCGTTGATGGTCCAAGAAACTCCATGTGCAAGTTGGGACTCCAAGGAGGTAGGCCCTGGTCCCTGAACCAGACAAGTATACTGAACAACACTGACATCAAATCTTCCAAATGCGACTTTTCTTTCTTTATAGTGTTTATTTAATTGACACTCTTACCTTTTCGTGAACCAGGAAGTTTGACAGTTTAACTTCCCGCTGATCTCACGAGAAGATACTGAAGAGTGAAAATGCCTGGTCGGAGAGAGGGAGCTGGGAGGAAGCCTGGTGACAGCCACCCAAGGAGCCGCTGGTGGTGATTCTCCGGGCCTCCCCTGGAGGGGGCAGGGGGGCCATAGTGGTGACAGAGTTGCCTTTGCTTCTGTCGGCTGGGTGGCTGCCAGTGCGGGATTTAATTATTTCATTTATGTAGCTTTGCTGCTGCAGATTTTTAAATGTTGAAAGCCACCCATTTATAAGCCTTGGCCTCATATTCTGAGTATTAGGGCCGTGGCGTTTTCTATAGCCTGCATATTGATATGCACACTGCAGACAGAGGTGGAGAAAATTAATGCCAGAGGAGGCCAGTCTCGGGAGCCTTTCCTTCTGGGCCTGTTTCTCCGTGGGTAAGGCGGAAAGAGGGAAGAGATGTTAGAAGGCCCTGCTAGGACTTAGCAGGCATTTCGAATGAGGCCTATCCCTGTCTCCCCAGGATTGTCCATGATCCTCCTTACTCTAGCCCCTACATAGGCCATGATAAGCAGATGCCCTCTGTCCTCAAGCTCTGATAAGCAAGGCATGACCCCAGGGAGAGGGTCTAAATACTCTTGCTTTTGACTTCCAGAAATGCTCACACCTTTTTATCACAGGTTAGTGCAGCTCACATGGCTGCTATAAATGGAGCCCTGAGGAATGATGGCATTTGAGTTCCAGAAGGCCTGAATACAGACTGCCCATGGGACGTGAAATTGTGGGTCGGGAGCCAGGCAGACTTGGGCAAAAAGAACTACTCAGGTCCCAAACTGAGGCCAGGTTTTAGTATTTCAGCTATTTACATTTTTTTAATTGAAATGCTTTAAAAGCAATGGTTTTAAACAGAGGTTGGTGGACCCCCTACAACACACCAAACTCCAAAACATCAGACAGTTTCTAGAGACAATTTGGGTTGTCACAACTGATAGGGGTGATAAAAGATGCTCCTGGTATCCAGTGAACACAAGTGGTCAGTATCCCAGTTAAATCCTGTATACAATGCACAGGATGAGTGGTGACACAGAATAATCTGGCCCAATATTCCCATTGGTCTGGAGCTAAGAAACATTATTTTATAGCAAATTTAATGAACCAGTATCACTTGTTCAGTCAAAGCAAGTATGCAAACAGCGAGTGCAAAAAAAAATCACAACAATATCCATAAGGTGCACACATAGTTCTTCTAATGGAGGGAAATTAGCTCCTGGAGAGAGATTAGAGATGCAGATGCACTATAGGGAGGCCTTCTCCTGGAATAGAATCAGAGGGATGAAAAAGGATGCATGAGGACGATGCTTTCTCCTCCTGTGATTCGATGCTTCTTGGTGTTGTGTCTGTCCTATCCCCACAGCCAGACTCACTGCCTAAGGGATGTTCCCTGTGGCAAACTGAGAAGTGCTGTCCAAGTGTCCCAGGCTCAAGTCTCAGTTACTAAGTGTCACTGCCTTGGAAGAGCCCTGTCCCTCTGGCCTCATGAGTCCCCAGAGCTAATAATTAGACGTAAATGGGAGTCCATTCTCTCTTTTTTCACAGGTAGTTATAATAATAATATCCCCCTTTGGGCATAGGCTTTTTCATCTTCAAAGCACTTTATAAACATGAGCTAATCTTCCTGCTCCCTGGTGAGGTCAGAAGTCCTGTATTTACTGGAGGGAGCCACCAAGGCAGGAGAACCAAATGAGTCACCGCAGCCCTGGCTGGGAGTCAGGTGAGGTTGGGGTTGGGATTCAGGTTTACTGTTGCTGGACTGCTGGACATGTCCTCCACTGGGCCACACCTTCCTACAGCCCTGTCTTGGTATTGGTGCCTAACCTCAAATTCAGTCAGGTCTGGGGTGTGTGTGTGTGTGTGTGTTTGTGTGTATGGGAGGAGGGAGGTAACATTTCTTCTCCCCACCTTCCTGTAGACTGCTCTTGTGAGAGCTATTGAATGCACCCTGCTCCTCTTCCTTTTTGTTTGATGATTTCTCCTATGGCAGGTAAACACTACCCTTCCTGCTCTGGAGTTACTTTCAGAAAATATTTTTCTTGTGGATCTCTACTCCCCGGATGGTGTAGGAGTGGAACAGCAGCAATGTGGCCTTTCTTTCACAAGCTTGTTTGAAGATGTCTGTGGTCAGCAGGGCCAGAGCCATAAGGACCAAGGGTGTCTGGCCACAGGCCGTGACTGCTGCAACAGGGACCACCCTGGTGCACGCCTTCCCTGCGTACCTGCAGGTAGCGGGTACTGCATTTGTGCTTAACCCAGATGCTTTTGGTTTTGGCCAGGAGGAGCCGTGGTGAGGCACCCAGGAGAACCAAGTGCTAGTCTCAGAGGCAGCAGTTGCCGCTCTGTCATGCCAGATACCAAAGATTAAAACAGCAATAGTACTAGTAAAGTGGAATCATCAGGGTTCAAGTGACATTTAAACCTACTTGGAGATACCTTATGTCTCTGAATCTTGCGGCTCTGGGGAGATGATCCCATCACAGCTATGTGGGGTCCTGTGCCCTTTCACATACCCTCTCCACGAGGTGGGACAGTCAACGCAGAAAATGAATTTAAGTCAGAGCATGAAGGATGAGAAGAGCGTTTGGGGATTTCTCAGGTTTATTGCCAGGTGTGGGTTGAAGAACCTCTTGGTAGCAGAGGCTGCTGTGTGCCTCATAGAAAGCACTGAACATCCTGAACAGCCTTAAATCTCATCTGTGGTGCCATGGATGGCCTCAGCTCACCGCTGTGCACACCTCTGAAGCCATGGCCTTTGGTCTTGGCCAGTGTAGGTGCTATAACAACAATGCTGTAGGCAGAGCTACTTAAATAGCAGACACATTCCTCCAGTGCTGGAGGCCAAGAAGTCCAAGGTCAGAGTGCTAGCATGGTTGGCCTCCTTCTTGATTTGCAAACACCTGACTGCTTGCTCACTAGACTGGGTGGAGGATGTGGGAGTGTTTACAGGGGCACTCATTCCATTGTGCACTCATGACCTAAATACTTCCTAAGGACCCCAACTCCAAATATTATTATAATGCTAGGGGTTAGCATTTAACATAGGGACTTTGGGGGCTGTATTGTAACTTTCTGTGGGATCACCGTGAGGTTCTGAAACACCAGGAAGGGATGGAGAAAAGTGTGATTCAGGACCATCAGCTGGTCAGTAAGATCCATGAGCAGCGGCAGAGTACAGACAAGACTCCTCCTGCCCTGCCGATGAACCTGACCACCCACTACTTGCAGGATGTGGGAGCAACTGTGTGAGCAGAATCCAGTGGGGTGAGCTGTCAAGGGGCTTCTGACCCAGGGCCCCCAGAGCTGGCGTGACATTGGGAATCTGGGTTTCAGTTGGCCACAGCCCACTGCCCGGTCACAGCAGCAAGTGGCTCACTTGTCCCATGAAGGTCAAATCCAGTAGTTTGAACAGTCCACAGCAGCTTGCCTGTTACTCAGAGATCCACTTCTCCAGAAGACAGAAGGCTGACCCCGTTGTGACACTACGTCCTCCTCACATTTCAGTTATTTTGTTTCAGACTTCCACATTACCATGGTTTCTAATGAAATGCCAGTAAATGATAGGAGATGACCAGTGGGGTGAAGACCATAGAGGGGGTTCTGATGGGAATGAAAACACCCCCATCAAGGCCCAGGACCCTGGCTGGCATCCTCCAGACACCTTCCACCACCCCATTCCTCCCTGTGAGCAGAATCTTCCTGCCTGCCACCCTGCCCTCACCTCCTCTGCTTATTTTCCCTTATCCCACTGAACCCTTCCCCTCCCCAAATCACGGATACTGGCACAGTAACTCAGAAGATTTGCCTCTCCTGTTTGTTCCTGCCTTATGCTTTCCTTGACTCCTTTCAGTCACTGAGTCCATGTGCTCACAGTTATGGGACTCAAACCCAGGACATCAGACTTGGAAGGAAGCTCTCTTCTACCACACTGCAGACTCAAGGCCATTGTAGGCACATGACATTGAACTTGCCCTCTCCACCTCTCCAGGAGTTGCCACCTCATTCTTGTCCCCAACTTGGATTGCAGTTCCTTCCCCAGCAGCACCCCAGGAATCATTTGTGGAGTTGAGGAAACAGAGGCCAGATCTTATTCCCTATCTATTCTCTGATCCTCTGAGATCTGGCTGTCTTCAACAGCTTAGTTTAAATTTGTCTTAGCTGGAAGCTTTTCTTGGATATTGAAACTTCATGTTTTCTTTCCTTGTGTAAGATCGGAAGGGACTTCTGCAAGTCCTCTGTCTTATATGAACAGCTCATCTGTTCTTTGCTCTTGGCAATCTGACTGCAGTCTTACAGCTATGAGGTTGGACTCTGTACACCCCTTGCCTTTCTCCATCTTTCTTGATGCTCCTGGCTATTCAGTTTAGATCCCCACATTCTACCTTAGGTCCTCCCTTCTGCTTTCTAAACAGAGATGAGCCTAGGCCAATGATGGCGAACTTTGTAAAATTTCCAATGACGTAAACAGCTTTCTGCTGCATGTGTGCCAGAGTTTTGCCACCACTGGTCTAAGCTCTTAGGCTCTAAATTTAAATCCCTGCCATGAATTCACTAACTCTTCTTTTGAAAACCACATGCATTTGTACCCTTGTGATTTCTTAAGAGTCAGCTCTGTAGGGCTCTTTTTGCCTCATTCCTCAAGCTCATGACCCTGGAAGTCTAGGGTCCTCTTTTTTCATCAGCATGAAGTAATGGGTCTGGACATCAGCATCAAGGCTTTCATTTAACTGGCCACTAAGATTCAAATGCTTACCTGTAACATTGACTTAGGGGATTAAACCTAGCACCTTGTGAATACTAGACATGAACTCTACCACTGAACTATTTCCCAAGCCATTTTTTATGTTACTTTGGGCCAGGGCTTTGCTAAATTTCCCGGGCTGGGTTTGGGCTTGCCATCCTCCTGACTCAGCCTCTGAAGCAACTGAAATAGACATGTGTTAATGCAGCAGGCAGTGCCAAGTTTTTGCTTTTTTTGTTTTGTTTCATTTTGATTTGGTTTGGTTTTTTGAGACAAGGTCTTGCTACACAGTTCAGGCTGGCCTTGAACTCACCATATACCATAGGCTGTCCTTGAACTTGTGGTGACCCTCTTGAGTGCTGGGACTATAAGCGTGAACCACTGTGCCCAGTCAATGCCAGCTGTTTAAAATGGGCAGCTATGTGTTGCTCTTGGTACTTTCCAGGAATGCTTGGTGCTCTGCCATCTTTAGTAAATGTTTCATAAGTTAACTAAGAATTGCTCCCCACTTCTGCAGTGCTCTTAAGTCCACTCTTCCTTCCTTTCCCTTTGCCATATGGCACTGCTCTAGACAGGTGGTTGAGACCTCTTCCCCAGGTCTTCTCACCCTCTAGAATGTTGAAGATCCATTTAATATTGCATTTTCCCTCACAATTTCTTATTGACAAAGTAATGATTTTAGATTTTATCTAGTGAATATTCAGAATGTACATCACATATGTGTAAGCCATTACATTTTCAGTCTCGTAACAATGCTTAGTGTGTCTGTGATCTTTGGAACTCTGATGTGAATTTTGTGGCTTCCTAGGAATTTGTGGTCTACATTTAGTGACCAGCCACCTAGATTTTTGCATCAGTTCAGCTGCCCACCATTCTGTCTTACATCCTAGTAGGTTATGCACCTCTTTGCATGTCACCTCCTACTAAAGGACTTCCTGCTTCTACACTTGACTTTATCCAGAAAATAGTCTGCATAACCGGGCATCTGGGCCTGGCACAGACTCTCTCACCTTAGGATTCATGCTCTTTTGACATATATGGTCCACTGTGGGTGGCTTTTATTGTTTTCTCCAAAAGACTTCAGTTCTGGTTGCTTGATCTTGGTGCCTTGTTTGTCCGATTTAATGCTAAGAGCTACCTGTGTCTACAAGTGACATCCAGATTTCCTGAGTTTACCAACCCAGGAGACTCACTTGTTCACCTCTGAGCAGATTATTCTCCAGATTTGTACTTAAAGCATTCTCTCATCATGCAGTTACTTTTCTACATACATGTGTACAAGCACACGCTTTGCCTGTATTTAGAAACCATTTCAAGCAACTCAAAGAAGACTCATAACTTCTTTATGCATAACCCTCTGTTCTTATTGTTTTATCACACTGACTTTATTATGTTCTTTTTCTTTATGTGTTTTTCTTTCTCCACATCATATGAGACTAAGATATATACATCATGGGCTTTCACCTCTAAATATCAGTGTACACTTCCCAAGAAATGTAACCTTTGCAAATTTATGCTGATGTAATACTTTAATCTCCACCCATGTTCCAGTTATGTTGGATAATCCAATAATGTTCTTTATGACCATTTACTTTCTTTCAGTATACAGACTAGACTGAGCCGTTGCATCAGTTTGCTGGATCTCTTCACCTCCTTTACCATGCCCCACTCACGAGTATCTGTGTCACTGTACCATTAGGCTGCTTTTACCACCCCATGGGACTGTACCATGCCACCCGATGGGGCAGTCATGCCTATATCACCAGTGGTTCAGAGCTGCCTAGCAGCGAGATAAATGAATTATGATCCTGTTGTGAAAATGTTATCTGGAACCTTTCTATAGTTTTTTTTTTTTTTTTTTTTTTTTTTTTAATGACAGGAATAGTTTTGAAGAATGGAGCCTTCCTTCTTCCTTTTTTTTCAGTGGAAAACTCCTCTTTTTGTCTTTGAAGGTTTTTGGGGATTAGATTATGTATTGTTGGCTGGATAATTACCTAGGTAAATTATCTGATTTCTTTACTATACAATTAACATTTTAAAAAATCTTTTGTAACTTACAAGCAGCCTGTAACTTTAAGGTCACAAAAGCTCCTCTCTGATGTTTTCTTTTAGATTTAGCATCCAGTGAGGATTTTTGCTGAATTTAGTCTTCACTATGGTGGTTGCAGGTAATTTTCCAACTGTCATACTCCTTTGTCATTTACAATTTGGGTCTTGACAGTCTTCTGCTACTAGAAATCTTCCTTTTCTATGTGTGCATATGTGTGTGCGTGTGTGTGCATGTGATTGGTATGAATTTAATTTGGAATTCCTAATTATTTGTTGGTTTTATATCAGTGCTTTGCTTGATTACTTTGGTGCCCAGATTTGACCCCTTTTAACTGGCTCCTGTGATCATACACAAATACAGACTTAACTGTAAGGTCCTTGGAAAGACAGTAAACCTTTGGAGATACATTCATATTGTGACCCATAATAACAGTCACTCAAGTGTGGGGTGAGGAGGAAAGGTGTATCTTTTGGTTTTGTTTTGGGTTTTTTTGTGTGTGTGTTTTTGAGCAGGGTCTCGCTATGCAGTTCAGGCTGGCCTTGAGCTCACTTTGTAGCCCAGGTAAGTCTCAAACTCACAATGAGCCTCATGCTTTAGCCTCACGGGAGTGCTGGGATTACAGGTGTGAGCCACCACACCTGGATACTTTCTTTTGGATACTTTCTTGGGTTCCTCCCTGCTGCTGCAATTCACACCTATAATGAGATCTAAGACACAGCTAGCCAAAGTATTTTATGGTTAGGAACATTGAATGTCACAGCACTAAATCTTCTGCCTTACACCAGGAAATCCAAGAGTGTCAATCGTTGATGTGAAATCTTTTCTTATCTGAGAACCTGTTGAACCAAGCCATGCTGTGAATCAATGTGTTTGATATTCATATGAGAAAGATCAATAAGAAGCATCGAGTAAAGGTGATTAAAAAAAAGAACAGGGATTATAAGTGCAAAAAACAGCAGGGGTGAGCATGGCAAACCAAATGAGCGAGCAAAGCAATGCTTTGGTGTGGTCCGAGCTGCGATGCACTGAGGATCCCTTGGCCTGTGTCCTCGAGGCAGCAGCTCTCAGCCTCAGTGACTGGATTGGTTGCAAGAGTGTGGATGTGGCTGCCAGATCTTCCCATTTTTCAAGACCACCCAGAAAACCATACTTTATGTAAAATCTTAAAAAAAAATCTTTCAATCTGCACATCTCATCGCCTAATTCTAAAAATACGAAAGCGTATTTTTGAGGTCTACAATCTGAGCCAGCTGCTGTGTTTCTGCGACTCCTTTCTTTCTCCATCAAAATTCAGTGCCCCCGACTTACAGGCTGACCTTTTTTGAGTCATTTTGAGGATAGAATTCAATGATCTTGTGATTTCTCAGCCAGAGGTGAAAACTCTAAACATTTCCCTTCCCATTCCATTCAAAACACAGGAGATACAAAGTCTGCACTGTGTAAACCCAAAGCATTTTCTTTTCCTATGCATCACAATTGCATAGCTGATGACCTCCCAAAGCAACAGACCCCAGTGGTTGGCCTGATCTGGTGTTCATGCATATGTAGTTATATTACTCAGTGGTTACAGATGAATTATGATCCTCTCCACTAGGACTGAGCAAGACAGATGGGAAGGTCCCCTCCCCTGTTAGAGCACACGCCCAGGCTGTCATCCCCCGCTTCTGCCGCCAAGCCATTTCCAGGAGGACCATCTTCAGCATGCAGAGTTGGTCAAGACTTCACAAATATTTCTACTGAATTGTTACCAAGAAAACCTTTGCTTTATGAATTTTTGTTTTATTACTTTGCTAAAGCAAATACACTCCAGAAAGACATGCGGTGTTCCACTTCAGTCAAAAACTATGCCTCAGAGCTCCATGTCTCTTCTTTTCAGTTCTAAGGAAAACTCATAAGAAATGCCAACTTATAACACATGACATTTTTCAACTGTGCAGGTTATTTCTATGCTGCTGGAGCCAACGCTGGAGTGCTAAGGTGGACTTCTGATTTGAAAGGCCCTCGGGCTCCATAGGGCTTTTGACCTAAAAGTAAAATAAAACCTTGGCTCATGTTTGAAATAGGCCTATCAGTTTACACTGAACCCTTTGCTTTCTTTTCTGAATGTCTTTCTGTCTCTATTTTCCATAGAGACAGACTCACAAAAGTAGACCCGTGGTAGAATGTTTTGTGGTTCTCTCTTGAGGACTTCTATAGATAGGACTGTGGCCTAGCCAGTGTTGTTAGCAAGGCCACTGTCACCCATCATCCCAGGGCCTTGGGGGGGCTGGATTGTGAATAGTAGTCCAGATGCGGTTCCACTCTCTGCCATCTAATTTTTACCCTCATATTTCCATGGGACCGTCGCATCTCTTTCCTACAGCAAATAGAATTCCTACATAAACTGTCTCCCTTGTCTCTTTGCAAAGGGCAAACGAGTCTCTCTCAGCTTTAGTTTTTGCAGACTCAGCCTCCCAGGGCACAGACCTGAAACGCAGTTGCTCATTCCCTGTGTTTACTTTTATTTCCAGCCACATCTGGAGGCCAAAATTCATAAATTTATTGCCAAGCCTTACAACAGTTTACTGAGTTTGTACGTTAAGGAAAGGGGGAAAAAAATGAGCTCCTGACTTGTCGAGTGTAAAATGGATGGAGAAATCGGTGGGCAGATCATAAACCCCAAGCGTGTTTATTAACATCTGTGGCCTGCCTGCAGACGGCGAAGGCGTGAGTCGGCTGTGTTTGTCTTGGAGGTTGAGCCCAGAGAGTTCCATGGTGTGTTCTCCATATACATCCAGCCAGGCATCTTTTTAACCCACCAGAGACCAGGGAAGGGAAACAAGGGCCGTTCAGAAGTGGAGGGCTGCAGGTCCCAAGTGGGGAGAGCAGGATGGGCACCCAGCTCTGTTTACAGTAGAGCTGTGCAGTGGGTGGGCCAATTCTTGTGACGTACATGAGGCTTAAAAAATGGTCATAAATCTGTTGTCTGTCAAACAGGGCTGGCATTTTCCTTTCCTTTCACAACTATGGTTTGTATGACCAAAAAAGAAAAAAAAAAAAACCCACAAGAAATCCTCTAAGGGCTTATGAGTGGTGTCCTTGGGTCCCACAGGTGGGGTGGAATCCCCCAGGAGCACAGTGGAGGATTTCACTGGAGGCTGTGTGCTCCCCTCACTGCCCCACTGGATGGACCTCAGCTGTAGCTCCATGTTCTCCAGAGCGGTTTTTACCATGGCTCAGGTCAGGTTGCTGTGGGTCAGGCAGGAACACCCTGAACAAGCCAGTAGCTGCTGTAAGTTGCTGCTTTTCTACCATAAATAAAGCCAAAACCAAGGTGTGCTGAGGGCCCCAGGGTGAGTGGGAGAGGGATGTGCTGATAGTGGCTGCTAGCCATGGACCCTCTGACTGGAGAGAAATGTGCTGGGGATGTCCTTTTAGCAGGCGGTTTGGCTCTTGGGGACCTCACGTCTGAGGTAAGTCCGCCAAAGAAAAGGGCACTTTTTGTGGTCAGAGCCTGCGCTTGGACCAAGCGCTTGGACACAGGGCGTATGTGCCTGGGGAGGGCGTGGCCCACCAAGGAGGAGAAAAACCCCCTGTCTCTGCAAAGCGTGGCTGCCAGGTCTCTGGATTCAGGGAACAGTGGATGACTGTTGGGAAGCTTGGCTGGCCCAGCGTCCAGGTGTGCCCTGGCCAGTCAGCTGTGTCATCTCATGACAAGGAGTATGAGGGTCCGCATGTCTACTTGGGGCCCCCTAGTACTCATCTCTGTCTACCCAAAGCTGAGTTTTCCATGTGCCCTGGGAACAACCCCTTCAGCATCACTGAGTCTCCCGTTGATCTTGACTGTGATGCAGGCTGGGCACAGGTCAGGGCCCATCCTCAACCCCCAGAGTTTTGCATTCTGTTTCCTACATAGACAGTGCCTGAACCAAGGTGCAGACCACTGGATCTGAAAACTCCCTGATTTTCAGGGCCTTTTCCCTGGCCCCTGGCCACACTCCCCTGCTTGGTTACTTAGGCAGCATTGTTCAAGGGTATAAAACCAGCTGGGCCAATGTGGTTAGGCTGGGGCTTAACTCAGTGGACTGGGATTTCCCTGTGGATTGAGGGGTGGGCATAGACCGTCCCCAGTGAGGACCCTTGGAAGGAACCTGGCCAGTGACGGGCCAGTACTTTTCCATTGGCAGGTGGGGCAGGGTGGAGAAGGACTTTGAGCCCTAGTGACCAAGCAGCCTAGGGATTTTCCAGGCTACCCTGGGGAGGTTATCTCAGCTAGGGACAGGGAATCAAAAGTTCTAAATAGACTTAACACTCGCAGGTGATAAAATGTTGATCAAACATGTTGGGGCCCCCATCAGTGCTGTCCTGGAACCACCTGGGCTTGAAGGGGAAGAAACCTTGGCAATCTGAGTCATGTCTAAGGCAGCAGCTTCTGACTTTGCTTCCTTCCTTCCTTCAAATGTTGCTGCTGCTGGGGGCACAGATGCAGGTTGGCTATCAAAGGGCTCTCCACTGTCTTACCTTACTGGGATCGTGTCTGTAGTTTATGAGAATGAGCACTGCCTAGCCTTATGTCCTCAGGTCTCCTAAGACCAGTGGTTTTTAAAGAATTTTTACTGTTTGAAGCATTGATTTGGAGCTGGGTGCCCACAATATTGTCTGTGGGTAGGCAGAGGTACCCCCCCGTGTTAATGCTGTAATGGCTGACTTTGTTGTGTTGTTCAAGTGTCAGCTTGATTTCATTTCCTCAGGGGAGCCTTTGCTGTCGCTGTGACCCTCTTCCCACTCCCATAGCATTTTCTTTTGCAGGACCCTCGTGATTTATAATTGAATGTGGTTACTTATCTATGAGCCATGTCCATCTCTAGAACACAGTCACATGAGCAGAGGCTCGGATGTCGACTTTATCATTGACAGAGTCCAGCTATCAGCATGGCACCTGATGTCCATAGATACCCAATCAGTATTTGAGTTAATGCCAGCAGTGGGGAGAGTAGGGTGTACAGCTCCTTACCTCCACCTGCTGATAGGTAGTTATGCCTTTCTATGTTTCTGGTTTTGTTTTGTTTTTGTACTTGGCAGAAAGAAAGAAGGCAGGAGCCATTCATATTCATGCTTGATTATGGATCTCTCCAAAGTACAGATGATCAGAGTCCTGGGATTATGGTCTATTTATTTTAGAGGGAGAAAAGCGATGAAAAGCTAGATCATAGTTTCTATTTATAGTTGTTATTACAGTGATGAATAATTGCATAGGTATTTTTCTTATAAGACAGAGTTCAATCTTGTTTCTTGGCAGATGTCTGAAAGTACTGTTTTTTGGTGTTGCCTGTTTTTAGTACTAGGGATTAAACCCAAGGCCTTTGCACTGAGCTACACCCTCCCCCTTTGCCAAACCTCTTTGAGAAGGGTCTTTTATTGATCTATCCAGACTGGACTCATACATATGGTCCTCCTTCCTCAGCCTCCCAGAATGTTCCACCATACCTGACTAATACTGGGTTTTGATTTGACATTAGTATGGGGTAAATCCATAGTTCTTTCTGCTAGAAACTGTATGAGAGGTATCCTGGTCATTGGCGAGGCTACTCATCAGCTTGACACTTCCTGTAAGAGGACTCAAAGAGCCTATGGTTTTTGTCACTTACTACAACATCCCTGTAAACTGAGAGTCTGCCTAAGTGTTAAAACTCTGGCATCATCTTCAGAGTTTCTGGTTGAAAGGCCCAGGACAGTTTTGAAAATCCCAGTGTGAGTCCTGCAGGCGCTAAGGTCTAATTGATGATTCCTGCGCTGGGAAACCTGCATTCTTAAGCCCAGCTTTACCAGGGGTGGCGGCGTGGGAGGGAGGCTTGGCTTTTACTAAATATCTAACCTGTGCATTTGTAAAGATGTAAGGAAAGGATAGGTATAAACCCCAGAGGGTAAGGATAGTTTTGTTTATTTGTTTGGCTTTCTTTTATCATTAATGCCCATTTCTATATGAACTAGAATTCAGCAAGTGGATCTGCATTTTCTGCCTCAGAGATATGGAAGTGTAAAATACACTCAGAATTTCCTGTGTCACCATGCTAATGTAAGATGATGTATAATATTAGTCACCTGGAGCTGAGGAGCCAAAGTACCACAAACTGAGTGGCTTAAACAGAAACTTACTCTCCCACAGTCCTGGGGCCTGGAAGTTTGAGTGAAGATGTTGAGGACGGATCTGTCCCTTTGCCCTGGCTTCCAGTGACTTGCTGGCAGTGGTCAGTGTTAGCTGGTGTGTGGAAGCATCTCCCTGATTTCTGCCTTTACCTTCATGTGTCCTCCTCCCTGTATGCAGATCTGTGTTCTGGTTTCCCCTGCTTCTAAGGGAACCATGTGGCACTTGGAGCCCACTTTACCTCAGTGGGATCTCATCTTCACTAAATGATATACACAGTAACTGTATTTCCAAACAGGGACACAGTCTGAAGTCCTGAGGGTTAGGGCTTCACCACCCATGAGTTTGGGGAGGCACCATAGTCCAACCCATACCAAGTACTGCATGCCCAGCCTTTGCTACGGAAGTATACGCGGAACTTGATTCAAAGTTTTCCAGTGATTAGTATCTCCTCAGGTCCAGAGTGCCCTAGGATGTGTCTAATGTTATGTCCAACAGGAAGTTAGAAATTTATGAGGGAGGGACTGTCAATCTTTCCAGCCCTTCCTAGGAACTTCTGTAATTTTTGCCATACCAACACATACACTATTATTTCATATTTTTCCGACATGATTCCACATATTTTCTTTAAGTGTGCTTTAAGAAGGAATGCAGTGTCACTGTCATGCATGACTATCATAAGTGACACACAGAATATGATGAAATCATAAAGATTTGATTTTGTGACTTTACTAAGACTCTAAGCCTACGGAGTGCTCAGTTTCTTTTTAGAGACAGATGGAAGAAATGTTAAGGATTAGAGAGCACCAGATGGAGATATTCTTCTTGCTGGGATCAGGACTGAAAGAAACTAGGGAAGAGAAAAGTTCCAGTGTCATTTAATGCCTTATGTGCCTGTGGCCAGCAGTAGCTCAGATACCATTATGTGACACAGCACCCCTACTTTGGGAAACATCAAACCAGTCCAGTTTCTTTGTTTAATGAGTGAGGCGCTTAAGACCTCTGAGAAGTTAAAGTTTTGACAATCTCTAGGTCCCCTTGCATAACAGTGGCAAACCTGAATCTAGACCAGTAGAAAGGGAATATTGGATAGTAGCCTTGGGAAACTTTTTGATTATCACAAGTAAGAAAAGCTACTAGCATCTAATGGGTAAAGACCAGGAACATAGCTAGATATCCTACAGGGCATAGGGTTTTATATATATATGGAAGTTTTGTTGGTTATCAAATTATGTCTATTACATATTATGTTTGTGGCTGAAGACAGTCCTCTTCACTCAGTGTGGCCAGATAAACCAAAAGGCAGGACCCTTGTGGGTTAACATTTCCAAATTCCAAGGCTTCTAAACCTTGTGTAGTGGTGAAAGTTACAGCATCTGGTTCTCCCAGTAGTTCCTTAACCATATGGCATTAAACCTTACCTTTAGTCCTTCACATCTTCCTTCACACAAAAGCAGGAGAATTGAGGAGGTTTGGGGAAGCAGGATTTTTCAAGGAAACACTGACATGTTTTACATTCATCTGACAATGCCCGAAAGTGAGTTGGCTTTTGGGGGCATCTGTCTTGGTGGGACAATGAGACAAGCCAGTGCATTCTTACAATACAAACCCAGCTAGACACAGGAGCTGTGAGAATTGTGAGATGGTGCAGCAGTGCTCGGCAGCTACACGGAAGGAGGTAAATATACAGCCAGTGATACAGGAACTAAGAATGCTAAGCCTTTTGTATGCCTACAATTTGAAATTCTATCCACTTCTCTCTGAAACACTCAATGTAATTGGCATACCCACTCTGCCCCTGGCTATGAACGTGACCTTCAGGTTGCATACATTAGTGAAACTTTGCTTGCTCCCATCTTGGTTTAATACATGATTCTGCAGACTGTGTGCCTGCCTGGGCTGTGTCTGCTGTGGAGTCGGACTGTGGTGACTTTCTGCACTCATGTCTGAGCCCTGAGAGACAAGTCATGTGTTTATTCTCTGCTCCCCTACAAATTTAGCCATGCATGCAAACTGAAGCTCCGTGAGACTTTAGCAATAAATTTGAGGCTTCTGAGACTTTTGACAAGAAAGAGGGTCAACCTTTGCCATTCTCTTCTCTAGCTCTTTAACCCTGTCTTCTTGGATTAGTCATGTCTGTGGATGGGGTAGTGAGTGTCCAGCTTGCATCTTGAGGGTCCAGTGTCAAAGTCAGAAGTCTGATGTGTGATGACCATGGTCCTTATTGCTGTGTTACCTAACTCTCAATAGAAGAGAATCACAGCACAGACACTCCCCTAAAGGCAGCAATGTGATCCTGTCAAGGAGCCGGGCATGTGTTCCCTGTTGCCTGTCCTAAAAGGCACCCATCACCTTGGAATGAGAAAAGAACCAAGTCCACCAACTTAAGATTGAGCTTCTAGTCACAGGGCGAGGCTTTAAAATCAGAAAGCTGTACTAACGTGAAGAAGGGCAGGGATATAGCTCAGTGCTTGGCAAGCACAAGATCCTGAGTTCAATTCCTGGTACAAAACAAAACAAAACAAAACAAAACATGTTGTAGGGTGTGTGTGTGGGGGTTATGATTTCAGTTTAGTATTTTTAAATATTGTAGTTAAATAACTTCTTTTCTGTTAAGATTTTCTGACAAATCCGAAGAAACCACAGCCACTGCCAATCCTTTGAGTTCTCTGCTGGCTTTTCTTCTGAAGTCCAGCTTTCCAGCCACCCCAGCTGAGTTCTGCAGATGCCCTGGGAGACAGGAAGGATGAGGATTAATGGCCCTGCTTGGAGTTGGCTGATGGAGATGATGAAGCAGTATCTTTAGCGCAGGCTTGGCCTACACTGTCCCTGGGCCTCCCTGAGGCTGCTCTCCTAGCTCCTCTGATGCTGAATGCAGCCAGCTCCCTCCTTCGGCCTGGTCTGCTAGGTCCCTGCCTCTGCCTCTGCCACATGGGTGGGTCTCGCTTTCTCTTCTCTGTGGCTCCCCAGTCACCTGCTGCTGCCTGGTAGTGCTCAAGATCATACAGCCAGAACGCCCCAGAGCTGTCATTTATTCCCAGATAAACACAACATCTTTCTTTTCAGAAGGGGACTCTGCAGCCATTTCCTGCCACACCGGCCCAAGTGCCCCATCCCAACAACCCAGGGGGTGGAGCCCACCTTCTTCTCTGTAAACAGTAAGCACATGAAATACATGTGTACATGTGTGTGGAATCCATGATATATAATACACATTACAAAGTATGCATATAGTTGCTTTTTATGTCTCCTTACTAAGTTTTTGACTTTGCAGAGTCCAGGACCTACCTTAGCTTTTTTGTGTTTCTGACACCTGTTCTAATACTCAGCACACAGTAGATGCTAGGTGAACGCTGAAATGTGCTCATGGTGGACAGGCGATTCCAGATGAAATTTTGCCTGCCGCTGTCTTGTCTTTTGCTTCTGCGGGGTTGCTTGAGGGCTTCTTGATGGTTTTCCTCTAAGAAAAATCCTTCTTCCCTTAAGGGTGTGTGGCCACCACTGTCCATGTCCATCAGGCTGGGCAGTTGCAGTGTGGTCCTGACCATGTACTGGGTGGAAGGGTGGGTCTCCTTGCAAACCTCAGGCCTCTCCTTGGCTGACCCTCTGTCATCTGCTTGCCCCAGGAGAGAGAGTCTGGGACATTCCGTGTGGCCTTTCTAGGAGATTCTGTTTGTCTTTCCATCAGAGGTGCTGCAACCCAGCAGGCTTACGTATGTCAGGGAAAGTTGAGAGCGTCCAGCCCTTAAAATAAAACCAGGCTTTTCAACCATGGGTCCAGGAACTCTACACATCCTGCAGACACTACTTGAAGTGCTTTACAAATGTTATTAATCAAATCCTCAAAATGTCCTTTTACATAGGTCTGTTATTATACACATTTTTGACAAATGAGGAACCTGAGGCACAGATAAGTGAAGGCCTTTGTCCAAGGCTTATAAATTGTGGAGGGGCATTCAGACCAATCCAGTCCAGCCTGATCTTGGGATTTTGCTGCTGAACTAAGTGTGAGGACCATAGAGCATTTCATCCTCTTTGATGTCTACCTCCTAGTTTTGCTGGACTGGGATCCATGGTGGGTTTTGGTGCAGGGAGTTGGCCTTGTCTAAATGGGCTGCCGTGCATGTGGAACGGGAATGGAGAGGTCATGCAGGGGGCCCCGGGGATCCAAGGATCTGAGTGTCAGGAGACAGGCTGAGGGTGGTGCGGAAGGGCTGGGCTGGGCTTTGTGGCTGCTTCCTTTGATACCATTCCAGATGTCAGTGCAGGGAGGTGGTACTACCTTCTCCCCCAGCCCCACTGCACAGCTATTAAGTCAGGATTTGCCGATCAATAAATCAAGGCACCTGAAAAATGAAGCAGAGAACCACACTGCCCCCCACCTCTTGATTAAAACAAACAACATTGCAAAATGTCAACCTGTCAGTCGTTTGGAAAGTTTGCGGCATGGAAAGGCGATTACCCAAATGACTTTTTAAAAGTATGAGAATGTGCCTGGCTGAACGCTTTTTAATTAATGTGGCGAGTTAACGTTAATAACTATTCATAGCTCAGTGAGCTGGGCTCGGGGTGGGTTTGGAAACATTTGGTATCTCTGGCTGAGGCAGATGTTGACCTGGCTGGCATGGGGGCCGCCAGCAGCTTTTGCAAACCTAGGGACCCCGGGGACCCATGGAGATTGAGGATCAGAGAAGACAGGCTCCCAGCAAGGAGCTCCTGTGGCCTCCTGAGGGTCTCATGGGTGTGGAAGGATTGCTGCCATCCAGGTAGTCTATTGGGCTCAAGGTCTCTCCGGATTCGTCCCCACCCCATCTGATGAACAAACCTCTCTGGGGATTCTTCAGAAAATAAATGTTGTTCAGGGTCACACCATTCAAACCTACCTCCCTGATTTTCTGTGATCTCATTTTCCCTTAAAATATCAGTGGAAAAGTGTTTTTGAGTCAAGCATTTTATTTTCCATTTAAACACAGTGAAACCCAGACACGGGGGCTCAGCTTGGCACTGGCAGGGTGGACCCGGGCCTGGGACACCTTCTGTGGTCCATCCTTCAGCGAGCTGGGAGCCACACAGACCACAGTGACATCATGAGCTCTGCTGGGGGATGCCCAGCCTCCGTTTTGCTGTTGGGTTTGGGCTGGTGCTGTGTTCAGTGGGTATCCCAAGGGGTAAAGATGTGGCTTAAAAAGAGAAAACCTGGTGGGCTCATAAACTTTCAAGGTTCTTTTTCTTTTCTTTTTATGCACAGCGGGTTGTGTCTTTCAACTCAAGTAAGAGTCCACTCAGAGAGGATTTGGGAGAGAACTAAGCGTTTGGGTTTGCAGTTCTAGGTGGAAGCAGATGGAAGAATTCTTCAGGGATGTGGGAGCCACCAGGAGCAGAGATCCAGGTCTGCTGTGAGAGAGAACTGCCCTTTGCAGAGGCTGGCCATGGGGCGCATGGGTGCTCTCTGATAATCCTGCCTTCCATGCTTATGATTTGTGCACTGCATCACACACAGGGCCCAGTGCTCACCCAGAGGGAATTTAAAGTCTCCTTGGAGAGAGGTCAGATCGCCTAGGCCCCCATTGTCTTAAACTTAGTGCCAAATGTGGGCACAGGCAGTACCTGTTGTGACAAGGGCCTCAGCTATTACCCTGGCCATGAGGATAGAAAACATCATGATCAGCATTTTAGTGGCAGTGACTGGATGTTGCGATTTTAACTGAGTGGAGAAAAAGGTTCATTCAGTGACATGGGGTGGTCTGACTCTGGCTGAGGGGTGTAGGTGATGTATTTGGATGCCAGTTTGAGATCCTGGCAGGAGCCAGTCATCAGCCCACTCTGGGAGCAGCTGGTAAAGGAGGCTTAGAGAAAAAGTCAGGATCAGGAATGTGGGTCATCCTGGAGGAAGCCAGAGACAGGAATTTAGCTGAGCTGAGGTCTCCCTTTGCGCTGGAACCAGAGAGTGAGGGGAGAGGGGACAGGTTCTGAGATTGGCGCTCTGAATGAGGTCCCCTCTCAGCATCCCCGTGCACCCCTCCCTTGGAGGATTGGCAGAATGGTGCTGAGAGTCCTGGTTCTCAAGCTCCAGTCTGCTCCCTTGTGTGGGCAGCAGACCTGTCTCTCCTGACCTCTGCAGCCAAGGCGAGGAGCCTGCTGCTTACAGCCCGAGCTGTGTAAGAGGCAAAGAGAAGTGCATGGAGTTGTAGGTCCTAAGCAGAAATGCCAGTCATCAGTCCTCTGTGATGGCTCAGGTATTCAGAAAATGCCACGGAGCAGGTCTGTTCTATCCTGTAGCTCGCAACCCATCAGCTGGGTCAAGATTCTTGGTCAAGTTTGCTCACTGTTCAAGCCCATAACCACTGTACCCTTCCCTGGACACTCCTGTCTCCAAGCTTACCATGCAGCCCTTGATCTCTGAGTGTGCCCATTCCTGGTTGTATTCTAGATTTTGCCATGAGCCCAGAGGTCCCCTTGCTGGATCTCAACCTGGAGCTCTCTGCCCCACCCCCACTCATTTCCAAGCTGTTTCAGGTTTGACAAGCAAGCTTGCAATTTCTGCTTTTATTCTTCCTTACAGACTACCTTGATAATTTTATTTCTAATGTCTTTTATTTTTATTATTTCTTAAATACCATGCATCTTTCTTCCTCATAAAATAATGTTTGCTTACCTTAGACATTAAAAAAATGAGAAAACAGATGCCCATAAACTTACTGTTTGGAGATCACTGCTATTAACCCTTTGCTTTCTCCTGCATTTTTATAGACTATAATTGCATGTGTATGTAATTTTGTGGTTTTTATAGTAAAAGACTCAGCACTTACTAATTATTCACTGTGATCCTGGCAAAGCATTGAAAAACATGGTTCAATTTAGTACCAGTATAGAAGCAGGGGTGATCCTATGGTACATCCTTGAATAGAAAGGAGAGCTACGATGGCAGAGAGCTGGTCTCTTATCCCCATTTTCCAGTCGAGGGAGTGGATACCGCAGAAGGTGTCCAAGGTAACAGAGCCGGTCAGCTGTCTCATTAAGATTTCAGTCTTGAACTCTCTGCCTCTGGAATTCACACATGCATGTGTGGCTTTTTTTTTTAAACAAAAAGTAATAACTAATACAGAATTTCAAAGCAAAATGATAGAAGAGTAACTGGTTAATATATTGCATATTGTTATCTTCAAAGTAGTTGCTTTCAAAGTAGTTGCTCAGATTATGGAAAAATGATCAAACAATAAAAGCACAAACTGTTCTTTTTGATGACCTAACAGAGAGTAGTAATATAGTTATCTATCTTACATATGTGTGTATATATATATATATATATAGGTATAGTCTTTTCCCTTTTTTCTTTCCTCCTTTCCCCTATTCTAGTTGTTCTTTCATTTTGAGCAGTTTCTTCTCCTTTCACGGTCACAATA